TTGGATTCTGTTTGCTAGAATTTTGTTAAGGATTTTTGCATCTATGTTCATCAGTGATATTGGCCTGTAGTTTTCTTTTTTTGTGGCATCTTTGTCTGGTTTTGGAATTAGGGTGATGGTGGCCTCATAGAATGAGTTTGGAAGTTTACCTTCCTCTGCAATTTTCTGGAAGAGTTTGAGTAGGATAGGTGTTAGCTCTTCTCTAAACTTTTGGTAGAATTCAGCTGTGAAGCCATATGGTCCTGGGTTTTTGTTTGTTGGAAGATTTTTGATTCCAGTTTGATTTCCATACTTGTGATGGGTCTGTTAAGATTTTCAACTTCTTCCTGGTTCAGTTTTGGAAGGTTATACTTCTATAAGAATTTGTCCATTTCTTCCAAGTTGTCCATTTTATTGGCTGATAGTAGTCTCTTATGATCCTTTGTATTTCTGTGTTGCCTGTTGTGATTTCTCCATTTTCATTTCTAATTCTGTTGATTTGATTCTTCTCCCTTTTTTTGTTGATGAGTCTGGCTAATGGTTTGTCTATTTTATTTATCTTCTCAAGATATTTATTTATCTTTATTTATTATCTCAGCTTTCAGTTTTGTTCATTTTTCCTATAGTCTCCTTTGTTGCTTTTTCATTTATTTCTGCCCTAATTTTTATGATTTCTTTCCTTCTACTAACCCTGGGGTTCTTCATTTTTTCCTTTTCTAGTTACTTTAGGTGTAAAGTTAGGTTATTTATTTGATTTTTCTCTTGTTTCTTGAGGTATTGCTTATCTTTTTTTAATCAACCATAATTTCCTAAAATGATTCAAGATCAATGCCGTGCATGGTCTAGTTAAATGCTAACTACATACACCTCTCAAGGGAACATAACTACTCATAAGAGAAAGGTATGGAGTGGAGAGAGGCAAACAAGCAGGAAATGAAGACAACTTAGTAGAAATAACTTAACAGAAACAGAACTTTGCAAGCAGGAGATAATCCCAGTTCAGGCTTAGTCATATGAAAGAACAAAATAGTGTTTACTAAAGAAGATAGCTATGCAAGTGTGATGGCAGGAGGTAGATGAAAACTCTCTGCACCTTCCTTTCAATTTTGTCATTAACCTAAAACGGCTCTAAAAAATAAAGCATTTTCAAAAGATAAATTAATAATAATATATTAAGACTAAGTAGGGCTTATCTCAGGAACAAAACAAAGCTTCAGTGTTAAGATATATTTCCATTTAATTCATAAAATAAATAAAAGTAAGCTGGAAAGAAAACTATATTCTATCATAGATTTACAGTAGATAAGAAGCCATTTGACAACACTGAACACCTAGTCTCGATTAAAAGTAAAATAATAAACAAGAACAAAATGGAGAAAGAGAAGTCAATGAAAACACAAAGCCTACAATAGCCAAAACAACTTCAAAAAAGAAATGCCAAGTTGGAAGATTAAGTCTGTCTGATTTCAAGATTTACTATAAACAAAAGTAGTCAAGACACTACCACCACAAAGAGAGATAAAACAGATCAAGGGCACAGAACAAAGCATCTAGCAATAGGTCCAGACATACATGACAACTTATTTTTTATAAAGACGCAAAAGGAATTCAATGAAAAAAAAAAAGGATCATCTCATCAATACTTGGTGCAGGAACAACTGGATATCCAAATGCAAAACAAACAAAACCTATCAACAGGCTAAAAATAACCCTAACATCTATGACTATGGATTAGTTAAGTAAAGTATGGTACAATGATAAAATGGAAATCTGTGCATCTATTAAAAAAAGAGAATGAAGGAGATCTCTATGTTTCCAAAACTGGCACAAAGGAGACTCAAGATAAATTAAGTTAAAAAAAGGGCCAAGTATAGGAAAGGAAGTTAAGAATCACCTCCTGGGTAAGGGTGGTAAAATTCTGATGGATACAAGAAACGCTGATAGCAATGGTTACTCTTCTAAGATGATAAATAGAAACTATCTATTGTCTGACTTTGAAAATTTTGTTAACCATATTTAATCTATTCATATAATTCTTTTTTAACTGGCCTTCAAACTGGAAATGCAAATAAAATTGTAATTTAAGAAACTGCTACTTATTAATACTATTTAGTATGCTGCATTCTAACATCTATGCATGTATATTAAGTTAAAAATTGAACAACTCATTATTCCTTCACTAGTTTGACAGATCAAATTAGACAAAATGAAGAGGCTCGTTAGAGTTTGTGCTAATAAAATTCTAAAATCACAGTTATGTTCAAGATTTTATAAATAGACAGAAATTAAATTCTACTATTTTCTACCCAAAAGTATGCATTTTTCAGAATTATAAATTTTGTTTAAAACTATCTAAAACCTAGCCTTCCTCATAAAAATGATACATATTTCCCTCCTGCAGGAACAACTGGATATCCATATTCAAAACAAACAAAAACCTATCAACAGGCTAAAAATAACCCTAATGTCTATGACTATGGGTTAGTTAAGTAAAGTATGGTACAATGATACGATGGAAATCTGTGCATCTAAGATTGAAGGAGATCTCTATATACCAAAAATGGCACAAAGGAGACTCAAGATAAACTGAATGCCACATCATTCATAATATCACTACTTTACAATTCCCATTAACAAAGATAAAAATAGTAAGACTCTCCAGAGCATTAACCTGTCCACCATAGCTACTATTCTAAAACTGGTGTTAGCACAGCCTGCTTTAGACCTACTCTGCCACAAAACGTGCCTTCCCTCTATATTTCACATCTCTACACTTTGGTAAGAGAAACTTAGAACAAAAAATAACAGTGATAACTAAAAAAGGAAGGAAAGGGGACTTATATTTAAAATGCCAAATATTAGAACTGCTTTAAAAAAATTTCCTATGGTAATTTCAAAGCGGGATTTCATAAGTACAAAGGAAAATAAGTGCATCATGTTTTTCTAGTGAAAAAGTACGTGAGAGGTTGTTCAACATAACTGCTTAAGATCCCCAAAGAGCAATTTTCTAAGCATTTCTAAGCAGCACTGATTCTAATAAAACTACACCAAGACACATTTTCTTAAACACTAAACTTTGAATTATGACAGCACAAGCTGTCAAAATGGTTTTTTTAAAAAATGAATGCAAACTGAAAGAATCTGGCTTCTGCTCAACTTTCACGCTGTATTAATAATTTAGAAAATATCTCTATAATGGTACATAGCTCCAGTTAGCAGATTTCCATGAAGGGTGTGACCTGCACTAAATGTTAACATTATCCTTTCCCTACCAACTGGGCAGGGCACAGAAGTGTTCGGTTCTTATAGGCGTCCCATTCCTGCAGCCAAAACAGACAGAAAAGGCAAGCAGTGAACTGTAGGAAGGCTGTGGCACCAGAAGTCAACCAACGGGACCATGCCCAGCAGGCACTATACAAAATGTGGAAGTGGAATGGTAAGTTTGTATCTGCTGAGAAAAAAAGATAGGCATTCAACGGTGCTAAGACTATCGCTAATATTATATCCAAGGGCTATACCAAATTGAGCAGACTTGAGCAGAAGCAGTTCAAATACAACACAAACTTATATTATCCAAATGTGAGATTAGACCAGAAAAAAACTTAAAACATGTAATTACTCCTGTTGCTTTATTTCCTGTATTCTTCTATCCTAATCACCCCTCTTCTGAAACATAATAATTCCATGGTGCATCTTTACTGTCAAATACTATGCAGCAGTTACAAATCTCTTTGCATGACATGGAAATATTTCCAAGTACTGCTAAGTGAAAGAAGTTCCAGACTATTTAGTATGATGCATTTTCAGTGTCAAAACAACAAAAAGGCAATAACAAAAGAAAGCTCTCCATGTGTATGTACATACATTCAGATACATAAACTGGTTTTTTAAATAAGACTACACACTGAACGCTGTTGACCTTCAGAAAGCCTAACAGGTGATTTTCACTTTATACAATTCTATACTCTTCACAGCTTTAAAAAAAAAAATAAACCAACAACCATGAATCAAATACTATTATGAAAAACAAGGAACAACTTAAGCTCCCATCACTAAAATCTTACCAAGATAAAGTAGATAAACAACAAGGACCTACTATACAGCACAAAGAACTATATTCAACATCATATAATAACCTATAATGAAAAAGAATATGAAAAAGAATATATATACATACATATATATATAACTGAATTAATTTTCTGTACACCCAAAACTAACACAACATTGTAAATCGACTATACTTAAAAAAAAAAAAAAGAATCTTATGAATGTGCAGACTTGAGAATTTTACATGTCTGTCTAAAACAGTGCTATATTCAAGTAATTTCTGGAAAAATCAAGACAAGAGGACCTCAAAATGTCATTCATATTCCTTTCACAAGTTAAATTTTGATACACTGTAAGTACTAATTAGAAAACTTTACCTTTCTTGACGCATAGATGTCAAAAAATGGCTTATTTCTGACACTGAATGGTTCCTGTGTTTTGTCAATGAGCCCTGTCTTCATTTTTTCATGTCGAGGATTTATTATTTCTCTTTCTATACACTGCAGACGGATATTAAAATCACAATCTCCAACCGGCTGTGCCTGAATTAAACCAGACAATTATTTAAATTTCAACACTAAAAACTATCGTATCCACATAGTTATCCAGGCTGTCACACTATACACAGCAGTCTATATAAACAGCACCCTTTGGAGTTAAACAGTACACAGCCTGCACCTCCGGATGTGCCAGCCCTGATAATCAGACTAAAGATAGAAGCACACTTAAAAATGCAAATACACATACACAAAATTACTTAAATTATAAATATATAAAAGAATATAGGAAACATTATAAACCTCCTCAAATACAAATTTTCGATCCAAAGGTTTCACATCTGAATTAAAGTACTAATACACTCACTAATCACTATTATTTATATGAATTAGTAAAACCTGCATAAAACCCAAAATCCAAGTAGGTAGGAAAGTATATGTACACAACACACCAAAATAAGCAAAAAAAAACCCACAAACATCGTTTTGTTGTTTAAAATGCTAACACCTTACAGCCATCAAGAAGTAGAAGACATTTATTAAAGAAATACACTATCAACTTTGAAAACTAATAAAGAACAAAGTTTGTAAAATACAATAAAAAAAGAAAGTAACCCACTCTTCCCCATGTATATACACAGTACATATATTATGGTACGCATACATGATGGCTTTCCCGGGTGGCTCAGTGGTAAAGAATCCACCTGCCAATGCAGGAGACACAGGAGACGTGGGTTTGATCCCTGGATCAGGAAGAGTCCCTGGAGGAAGAAATGGCAACCCACTCCAGCATTCTTGCCTGCAAAGTTCCAGGGACAGAGGATGGGCTACAGTCCACGCAGCTGCAAAAAGCTGGACGTGACTGAGCATGCACGCAACGCAGCCAGAGGCGCACATATATGACATGTATACATGGTTTGAACGAGGAAATAAAAAGCATACGTCATGCTTTTGCACGAGCTGAGGGTAGGGGCCTGCCCTCTCCTGACTGGATATACAAATATAGCTGGGTGACAGTAATGGTCCAGATAAGCAGCATCACCTCAACGGGATACCAAGTACTCTCTTCTTCACTTCACCATTAGATATCCTTCCCAGCATTTTCCCTATCTTTTCTGCCTTCTTCCTCTTCTCTAATCTGTATTACTCAACCTAACATTTACCCAACCTACTGTTTACAAAGAGATGGCAACACTTGCTTAAGCTGTGAACATTAAATACGCCTCAAGGATGACTTTTTCTCAACTTTGGAAGGATGACAATTTTGATACTCGGCAAAAAAACACGGAGCAAAACAAAGTGAATGAGAGCTAGATATGAGGTAGAATATGTTCCCTTTATATAAAGGCATACAGCTGTTCCTAAAAGATGTTTATTGAGGAAATGGTAGTCAGTAAATAACCATGTAGTCCATCTGCAATCTTTTCCATGTCACCTATGTCATCAACAAGGCTGAAAAACCTAAAACGTCAGGTTCATTCATTAGATGAGTTCAGATCCCTATAAATTACAGTGAAACAAGCAAGGCTTCTTTTTAAGAAATAAAATAAGTCTAAAAATTACATATAGAAAGTAAGTTCACTTTCAAATCTGTGCTACCTATCATAAAGGAAGTTCCTGATAGATATGTGAAGAATTATAGAGAACAGACTATAGGAAGCACTCAATAACTGTTGACTTCTCAAAAGTCTTCTCTGTTTTGAGTTCTTTCTTACGTCAAAACACTACCCACCCTGCCAGTGGAGCTATCTTTCAAAACAATTAAAGTATGATCACATCATTAACATAACTAAAACCCTTCAGTAGTATCCTATTTTATACAGAACTGAACTAGAACACCTTATTCAAGGAATCTGGCCCCCGACCCACCAATCCATTCTCACTTCCTGCTACGTCCCGCATGTCACACACATCAAGTACACAAATGTCCATCTAATGCTCCTGACCTCTTAGGCTCACTCCTTCAAAATTAGTATGTCACTTTCTCTGTCTACAACTCCACACTTCAAATGACTCAACTATACCCACGGTAACCTGGAATATTCTCACCTCTCTGCTACCTCTCATGTATCTCCCATATACTTCCCTATTTCTCCCTAATATCTTTGATATTATACTTATGATACTTTTATAATTATTTCTTTAATTTATATCCCCATTCGTAAGTGCAATTCAAGTTTCTTTTAATTTTGCATTCCATCTAAACACATATCCTAACAATTGTGTATAATATATGCACATTAATCTCTAATAAGTTGCATATATACACAACTGTATATTATAAAGCAGAGAAAAATTGAATAACAGATTAAGAATAAATCTTTCTTCTTTTCAAATCCCAATGAACTGTTGAGGAAGCAGCCTTTTTTGGAGGTCAGTACACTAAATCATGACCAGTGGTCATGTATGGATGTGAGAGTTGGACTGTGAAGAAAGCTGAGCACCAAAGAATTGACGCTTTTGAACTGTGGTGTTGGAGAAGACTCTTGAGAGTCCCTTGGACTGCAAGGAGATCCAACCAGTCCATCCTCAAGGAGATCAGTCCTGGGTGTTCATTGGAAGGACTGATGCTGAAGCTGAAACTCCAGTATTTTGGCCATGTGATGCAAAGAGCTGACTCATTTGAAAAGACCCTGATGTTGGGAAAGATTGAAGGCAGGAGAAGAAGGGGACAACAGAGGATAAGATGGTTAGATGGCATCACCGACCCAACGGACATGAGTTTGGGTAAACTCCAGGAGTTGGTGATGGACAGGAGGCCTGGTGTGCTGCAGTCCATGGGGTCACAAAGAGTCGGACACGACCGAATGACTGAACTGAGTGACACTAAATCATGAATTCCCTGGAGGCAAGAAATCATGTCCGAGTCTTCTGTGTTTTCCTGACATCTAGAATAATACCTGACATATGAAAAATTATCAATGAAATTATTGCTGGACAAAATAGTAAACTAAGGGATTAAAAAGTTTTAAACCATTATCTCAAAAAAATTTTTCTCATAGTGACCTTGATTTGATAAATCAAAATAAACAAAGTGGTTAATCATCAGTGAAAGTCGCTCAGTTGTGTCTGCCTCTTTGTGACCCCATGGACTATACAGTCCATGGAATTCTCCAGGCCACAATACTGGAGTGGGTAGCCATTCCCTTCTCCAGGGGATCTTCCCAACCCAGGGATCAAACCCAGGTCTCCTGCACTGCAGGCAGATTCTTTACCAGTTGAGCCACCAGGAAGCCCTAAATGAAACCATCAATGAAAGCTCCATGGTAAATTAAAGAATTAAACATATCATGCTTTCAATTATATCTTATTATCAGAAATATGAAAAATGTGACATTAAAATCAATGAAAAATAGTAACAGGCACTCAATAAATACTTATTGAATGAATGATTATAAACCTAGAGATGAAAACCATGAATTGATCATTTTTACAGCAAAATATGGATGAATTTCCTCAACAAGACACAAAAGCACAAACTTTGAGATCCAGTGACTTTGATTTCACTAAAATGAAAAAAATTCTGTACCTCAATAGATATTAACTTGGAAAACATACTATTTGCCACATATATAACTAAGAAAGGATTAGAATCCAGGAAGGACAACTATTAGAAGATTGTTTGGACTGGCAATTAAATCACAAAAGAAAAATTCAAGCAAGTAAAAATAAACATGAAATATGCTTAACTTCAAATTTCCCTAGTAGTCCAGTGGTTGGGAACCCGCCTGCCAAAGCAGGCGCAAGTGTTAGTCACTCAGTTGTGGCCAACTCTTTTGCAACCCCATGGACTGGAGCTGAACCAGGCTCCTCTGTTCATGGAATTCTCCAGGCAAGAACACTGGAGTGGGTTGCCATTTCCTTCTCCAAGGGATCTTTCTGACCCAGAGATCAGAGCGGGATCTCCTGCATTGCAGACAGATTCTTTTCCACCTGAAACACCCACCAGGGAAGCTCAGGAACATGGGTTCAATCCCTGGTGTGGGAAGATGCCCCATGTTGCGGGGCAACTACTGAGCCAGCACTCTAGAGACCGTGAGCCACAACTACTAAAGCCCACACACCCTACAGTCTGCACTCCGCAACAAAAGAAATCATTGCAATGAGAAGTCCTAGCACCGCAACTAGACAGCATCCTGCTCTACTGCAGCTAGAGAAAGCCTGCACCCAGCAATGAAGACCCTGGGCAGCCCAAAACAAATAAATAAATGAGTAAAAAAAAAAAAGTTTTGAAAATTAAAAACAAGAAAAGAAATATGGTTAACTTCATTAGTAACCAGGGAAAAACAAAACTATCCAGTTGCCAAAACTCTTAGTCTGAAAATATCAACTGTGGTAAAGCGGTACAACTCCTCCTGAGGGCAACGGAGCAGCACAACAAAAAAGCTGTGGTCACCAACGTAATCAGAGTCTCCAGATGAGGGATGAGGGACGGCATTGTTTCAAATGCTTCCCCAGTGATCGTGGCTTCCCTGGTGAATCACACGATAAAAAATACACCTGGGTTCTCTGACCTGCATGTGGAAGACCTGGATTCGATCCCTGGGTTGGGATGATTCCCTGGAAGGAGGCATGGCAACTCACTCCAGTATTCTTGCCTGGAGAATTCCATGGACAGAGGAGAGAAGCTTGGTGGGTTACAGTTCATGGGGGTCACAAAGAGAGACAGCTGGGCAACCAAGCACAGCGCAGGTGATCATATCCCAGGAATGAGAGCTGTCTGAGAGAAGCATGGACACATGCGCACAACACAAGGTACATAACGCTGGTCCACGCAGCAGCAGCAGGACCGCAAAGTACGGAAACCCACGTGTCCAACAGGGATGGGAGAAAGATGAGCCCTGTTTATTCATACAAGGTAATAGAATACTGATTAATTAAAGTGGGTAAAGGTACTAAAAACATTCATGGGAATAATTAATAGCAACTTCAGGGTAGAAGCTGCTTCTGGATAAGGGGAGGTCATGAATGGAATGAAAGAGGTTTGCATAAGAAACTTCTACTAAATCTGTAATGATTTATTCCTTATTAGAAAGAAAATGGAATAAAACTGACAATGTTAAACTTCAACAGATTGGGAGGTGAGTACATGAGTATTCCTCATATTATTCTCCATATTTTTGTGTACATAAAATTTTTCATTTTTTTTTTTTTTTAAAGAATTAGAAGGCTGTTGTCTCAGACAAAGCTCCCAGGCTAACAAGTGAACCTGCACTGAACAATATTAAGGCAGAGCTCACTATCAAGAGGCAAAGGAGATAGTGTGCCCCCAATCACAAAGAAACAAGGCCACAACCCCACTCTTTACATCTCATTATGGTCCACTGAACATTATCCAAGACTGGTGATGAGAATAAGTCAATCCTGGGAAGCATTATTCTTGAGGAATATAGTAGTTACAAAGAGAACAAAATTAAAATTTGGTTTCTGACCTTCAGTTTCTTAAATTTGAAACTCTGTTTGAAATAGAAACTTAACAAAATATGAGATATGTAATTGAAAATTTCTGAGAAAAAGTAATCTGGATTAATACAATCCAGAATCTTAATACTGCAATTTAAAATGTATATCCCCCAAAAAAGAACTTTTTAAAAATTTCGTTACAAATCTTCAAAGCCTTAAAATTTATGCTTTTAATCCCCAAAGTCTTAACTGCTTTCAGCCTGGTCTGAATACTAAGTGATATGCAAGTTGAATAACATATCTAGAGGAACAATTATACCTTTTCATAGATATACACTACTGAAAGAACTTCTTGCATTTACAGAAGTCATCTTGTACTGCCTAAATAGTTTAGTCATTACACCATAATTAGCATTAACAGGCAGATTATAGCTAAGTCTAAAATTGTAGGAAATAGGTAGAGAATATAATTCCTACTTTATTTATTTACAAAAGGTAGTTTTGCATTTTGTTTTCTTTCTGCATCTTTCTGCCTCCATGTTATACAATCAACACTCATAGTCAGTTTCTCTTTTCTTAAGTGATAGACAGTAATAAAATTTGGAGACTTTTTAAAATCCAGGACAACACAGCTAAAATTGACAATTTTCCATTTTACAAAATACTGTCTTATTTTATCACAATTATACTCACTTGAAGTTCCTAAAGACTCCAAAGACAAGAAATGTGCAAAATGTTAGGTAATAAAGAGAAAGAAAAGGAGATGCAAAAGTATTAACAAGGTGTCAAATAAGTAACTTGATAGATTCATCATTTTTCTTTTCTACTATCTCTAAGGCAATAATCCTTTTTATTTGTTAAAAACCAATTATCTCAGTGATAATTTTTATTTTATAAATTATAGAAAGTACTTACATTGAATTTAATTATGTCATATATCAAGTATCTAGGAACGGCCTGTCCATTAACTCTGTCAATAATCATTTCCTTGAAGGAGAAAAAAAAATGTAAGTTTATTCATATTTTAATAGCAATTTCTTTAGTTTGATCAAAATATAACAGTCATACAAACTAGTATATAAAGCATAAATATACAACTTGATGAAATTTCAAAGTGTACACACTTATATGCAAATCAAATCTATAGACTGTCAGCACCTCAAAAAGCCCCATCATGAATATATTCTGTGCTGCAATAAAATCAAGATAATATTTCATTATATTTTTTATATATGAATTACTATGCTACATTTCATGGTGTTTGAATTACTAAACAACTATTAGGAAAAAGAGGCTACAAATTTTAAATTCCAAATATCAGGAGCATTTAAAAAGTTAACTTTGTTAAATCATTATTGTTTTACATTGTGTCATATGCCAAGTACTTTAATCATAAAACCTATAGGTAATAAATGGTACCCTTATTATAGATAAAATCTCCATGTGACCCATACAGTCTTTCTTGGTTCCATATCCCTCTACTATGATCAAAGGAACAGTGCAAGAGAATATGATATCACACTCCATTAAGTGAAAAGAAGTTAAATTCCACACACTGACAGAAAAGAGATAAAGGACACTAAAGGGTAGTTATAGATATAAAAGTAAAATTTTTTAAATTTTATTTCTTAATACTAGGTTTTAACCTAAAATTCTTTTTCTTCCCTCATATTCTTCCTAGGAAAGTAGGCAAGCTATTTGTTACCTAATTTCATGATGAAATATTCACACACAACCATCTAAAATTACAAAGAATACACTGAATTAGGACAGATACATTTTCCAGTTTTAAGGAATTATTACCAATTGGTTTCTTTCTCAAATTTTGTTTGCTGCACTACTGACATTTATTTATGGTTATCATCTTGAATGTAACACAACATCAATCACTTTTCTTACTTTAAGCTGCTTACTGAAAGACATTTTTTTTAAAGACTTTTATTTATTTAAGTGTCTGAGAATTTTATCAGCCAAGAAGGTAGTACCAATAACAGGTTTCAATCACTCTTTTCAAGAACAGGTGGGTGGAAGCTAAGTGGACTTAGAGGTTCAGAGAACAGACATCACAGAACTTCCCTCTCAAATCACCTGATGAAATGAGTGAATACGTATATTCTTCACACATTAAAAATAACAAAAGAGAAAGTTTGTTATCAGCAAACAAAACAAGTAAAAAGGAATAAACAAACCAGTAAACTTTAAAAACTGACAGTCATGCAAACTACCAAAATTCTGGTAAAACAGAAAGGCATAGCAGGATTCAGCCCCAAGCCCACTAAACCCCCAAAAGCCCTATTCGTAAATGACAAATCCTTGATAACTGTCACTACACTCAAACAGAGAAGCAAACTCAGTGGTTATTCCTTTTTCTCTCTTTAGAGTGAAGAATAACTGAAAGAGCAGAACACTGTGCCTGAAATAAAGGCTACAGGACTCCACGCGGAAGAAACAATCTGAGAGTTACTAGAATAAACTATGGTTCCCAACTAGCTGAAGAAAACTTTCACCCACAGTTTTTAAAGGAGAATAGAACCCAGGGATTCTAACAAAAACCCAACACCTAGGCTGCATTCGTCCCAACAACTTCTTCATCACAACGCCCCCATCCCCACAGCTGTCACTATTGCTCTAGGGTACAGAAAAGTAAGTAAACATAAAAAAAATTTAAGCCTAAAACTTAGTTAAGAAAACTGAACTGCATTGTTAGTGGGATTGTAAAATGGAGCAACCAGTACGAAAGAAGTACAGCAGTTCTCTCAAAAAATTAAAATTAGAACAACAGGACCCAGCAATTCCACTTCTGGGTATACATCCAAAAGAATTAAAAACAAGATCTTGAAGAGAGATTTATACACCCATTGTATATATCAGCATTATTCCAACAGCTAAGAGAAGGGACCCAAATGTTAATCAACAGATGAATGAATAAATAAATGTGGCAAGGACAGAGAGCGGAATATTATTCAGCCTTGAAAAGGAAATATATCACATGCTACAACATGCATAAACCTTGAGGACATTATGCTAAGTGAAATAAGCCAGTAAGAATCAGACAAATAACACATGATTTCACTTATATAAAGTATCTAAAGGATTTAAACTCATAGCCAGTAGAATGGTGCCTGCCGCAGGCCAGGGGTAACGAGAAGCTGTTTAACGGGCAGACAGTTTCACTTTTACAGGATAAAGAAGGTCTGGAGAGCTGCTGCTCCACAGTGCGCATACACTTACCACTACTCAACTGGATCCTTTTCAACCACACTTATAAAGAAAAAATTAAAATAAACAAATAAAATCTAGTGAAGAAGGGAAAATAGATTTTCTCCTGTGATCCAGTTTTAGAAACAGGGTCTAGATTTACCCTCCTGCATGAAACAACCTAAGAATGAAAAAAGGGGTAAACAATCTAAAGTTCAGTAATAGGTAGGACTTACAGTTCCAATAGCTCACAGTCAAAAGATGATGCTAAAGACTTGGCATGGCCCAGATATAAGGAATATTAAGTTGAGTACTTTGAAGAGCCACTCAAGAGTTTTAATGAGAGCAAATAACTGAAAAACTCGGGGCCTTCAAAGCTGATCTCAAAGACAACCCATTCTTTGAAACGCTTTCAGAGAAGGCCCCCTTGTTTCTAATTACCACAGTACATCCAGGTGACAGAACGCTCTGGAATGGGCAGTGGTTGCACAGGCTTCCCCAGTGACTCAGCTCCTGCCAAAGCAGGAGAGGCAGGCTGGATCCCTGGGTTGGGGGGATTCCCTACAGAAGGAAGCAGCACCCCACTCCAGTGTCCTTGTCTGGAGAACGCCAAGGGCAGAGGAGCCTGGCGGGCCACAGTGCCTGGGACCACAAAGAGCAGAGTCAGACACAACTCAGTGACTGCACAACGACAACAAGGTGGTCACGCAACCTCACAAACGCAAAAACCACCAACTTACACACTTTCACAATGGCGGGTTATACTTCAGCTGTCTTAATAAAGTTAAATTTGAAAAAGAAATCTGAAAATCAGTTCTTAAGATGAAAGGAAAAAGGAAGGGACCTCTGACATACAGCCTATATTAAATGTGAGCTATATACGTGTTGATCATAAACATTCTACAAATACAGCCATAATAAAATGACTAAAAGGAAATACATCAAAAGGTTAAAACTAAATCTTGATAGCTGAGTTTTCTTCTATTTTATAACATACAGACTTTTTAAAGTTTTAACAAGCATGCATATACTTTTATAAAAAATTAACATGAAGACATGTCATTTTCCCAAGATTTTTGTTATTAACTTTAATGATTAACTGTTATATTCTCCTGTTATCCTCAGCATAAAATTGACTGAATTTTACTGATTTGTTTTAAGTGAATTAATGTCGTATTTCTAAACTCCAATTTTCCACATTTTGTAGGTCAAAGAACATAATTAAGAGAGCAAAACAAAAGCCTCAACACTCATATCTGACAGCCAGACAATTAGGTAGTTTGAGTTATTCTTGGATTTGGAATTTTACAGAAACAATTTGCAAATGAAAATGTAGAAGAAACAGGAAACTAAACAGGGCTGTTTTAATTAACTAAGTGGAAAAACAGATATGGTAGCTAAAATTCTGATCCAAGTAAACTGACATCATGAATCATATTGCTATTTTTAAATCTCATAAGAGTCTATTATGTTGCTCTCAGTTATCCAAGTTTGGGATGAAAATAAATAGTATTGCTAAGTTAAATCTGCAGAGGGTTAAATAAACATCTAGATTTTAAGCATTATTTCTACCTGGAATACCAGAGGCTCATGTCCAACCAAAGTCTCTTTCTATAAAAATCCTCCCATAATCTAATGCCAAATCCTTTATAAGCCATCTTTAGTTACTAATTAGATATGATTCATTTCTCCTCTAAACCACCCTAGACCTTGTTTTAAATACCCATCTTCAGATTATTGTTTGATTCGTCACCCATCATTCTCCATCCCTCCCCAAAGAAGCACAGTGTCTCCAAGGTGAGGCTTCTCCTCGACCTTCTAAGTGCTACCTGCACTCTTTGGCACAGCACATGCCAGGAATGAAAAACTACACTAAACTTTGGCAAACACTATAACTTCAGAGTCTTTTTCTTCCTTTTATTTTATGAATCACAATGCTAAAAAAAAAAAAAAAAAGTACCTTAGATAAAATGAAAGCAACAAAAATCAAAATAAATGTTCTTGTTGTTCCCATGAACTAACTACCACAGCTGTGGTGTTGGGGATGCAGATTATAGACAGCACAACTGCAGGAATGCCTGTCACATCAATCAGGACAAGAAGGGCACACCCGGAAGATGTGCAGTGAACAATATTCCCAACCTTACGCAGTGGCGCAGTCAACCACAAGGGGGGTGCGTGTGCACATGCACACACCCACAAACATGCTAAAAAGTTGACGTGTACATGTGAGGTATTTTCACACACACACTGTCACGGAATGAACATTTACCAGGAGCCTCACAGAGATGCGGGACAGGTGACTCTGTGACTACAGTTACTCTGTTCAGCCTCTGCTACTCAGTCTCAACCAACCATATGACTTTCTTCCCTTCTATCTCCATCTTTAGTACCTGGCCCAGTCATCCTCTTAACCTGGACTGCTATCATCACTCATTAGGCCCCATCGAAAACTTTGATCTCATGTCCACTGCTCTTTTCCATACAACCTCAAACTCTCACTCTCTCTAGGTCACACCCTGAACCTTCTAAGCACTTAAAACTATACCTCACAAGTGACTAATTCAAACCGTCTCATTTCCCAGCCATAGTTATCCATCTTCTGGCCAGCACAAGCCCATATACAACTGGCAAATTTTGTTAAAAGCACATGAGATAGGGGCAGTAAGCACTCAGGTCACTTAGAAAGTAGCACTCCCTCAGTTAAACACATAAATACATATTTTATGCATATGGTTTTCATGAGGGTTTTTCTATCACTGAGCATTTAAACAAACATTCACAAGCTACTCCCTAGTCTTCCAATATCTACCTGCTAGTACAACCCCAAACTTGAGGAGCAAGTTTCATCTTCAGACAGAAAGCATTCTCATACAAATTCCAGGGACTACTAGTCAGATATAATTTAATCTACCTCATGAAAAAGGTTCAGTGTTGAAAAAAGTGAGGAAATATTAAAGAACACCAGTGGTATCTCAGTAGAAAAGAGACTTAAAAGTTGTGGAAAGTCATAAGAAAGATACAGAGTTCTTTTTCCCTCCAAAGAGAAACAGTGAAGGTGTGGCAGACAGATAAACCACAGGACCAGGCAGAGCAAACAGAAATATAAGGAGTGCAGAACCAAGCCTACCAGATATCACTCTGCAGAGAAAAACGCAAGTGGCTTGTTTACAGAGTGTAACATACTCGTTCAGCCTACCTTTTCAAATAGCCTTGTTCACCAAAAGCTAAAAAAAAGAATAAAATCTAAGTGGTAAACTTCAGAAGAGCCAGAATATTGGGTATTCTTACACAATCAGACATTAAATTGTATGCTAAAGTTATAGCATTTAAGTCAACCTAAAACTACCACTGGAAGTCCTAAATATTAGCGGAAGAGGAAAGTGAATCAAGAAAGATATACGGAAATCCTATACATAATTTTTAAATGACCTATGTAATTTAAAAGGAAAAATAAGATTAGCTGACTGATGCTGGGGCAATACTAGACATTGGGAAATACATAAAACTGTATCCCTATCTTATTCCTTTTACCAAAATATATCATGGATAGATCAAGTATTTAAATATACAGATGAAATCATAAAAGTATTAGAAGGAAATATAGGTGAGTATTATAGTAATTCTTAAGTAAAAATATCTCTTAAAATGGCACAAAAGCCAAATATTAAAAACCAAAGTGTTTAACTACTATTAAAAAGATAACTAATAAGAACCTACGGTAAAAAAAAAAAACAACCTACTGTATAGCACAGGGAATTCAATACTCTCTAATGATCTACAAGAGAAAAGAATCTAAAAAATAGTAGGGTGTGTGTGTGTGTTTGTGTGTGTGTGTGTGTAACTGATTTACTTTGCTGGACACCTAAAACGAACACAACAACTTTAAAATCAACTATATTCCAACAAAAATTTAGGAAAAGAAAAACAAGGTGCTCATAATTTACCTATATAAATTTATACTTGTGCCACAGAAAACACCAGAAAAAATTAAAAAACACATTTTTCTAAAATATGGGTCATAAAGCAATATCCCAATAAACAAAACATCTCATAAACCAATAAGAAAAAGATGAACATCCAATAGGAAAATGTATAAAAGATCTGATTGGGCAACTCACAAAAGAAATACCCTAACTCTGTACCATACTAAACACAGTCATAAGTGAAAAATGTTAAACCTCCTTAACAATTCACATAAATTAAGAGGTAAATATCACTATGTGTCAAACACTATTATCAGCACTTTACAACCCATCCAACTTAACCTTCACAGCAGCGCCAAGAACCTAGCCTAACTTCACTACAGAAGGAACCAAGTAAACCGCAGGAGGGCCCTCATGTCATAGCTTGTGAAACCAATCAGGCACCATCAGTCAGAGTCAGGGCTCTCAACCACTGTGCTATATTATCCCCTAAAATGAAAGAGTCAGTTAACATTAGAAGATTTAAAATTTTCAAAACCCAGTATACAGATCCTGTACATGTGTTCAAACTCTCTGGAAAGAAGAGTGGTAACCATACACGTCAGTGTTTAAAACGGTCAGTGCTCTCAAGTTAACATTAGAAGATTTTAAATTTTCAAAACCCAGTATACAGATCCTGTACATGTGTTCAAACTCTCTGGAGAGAAGAGCGGCAATCATACACGTCAGCGTTTAGAGTGGTCAGTGCTCTCAAAGCCAGCGTCGCCGCCGCAGTACAGTACAGCCTGTTACTGCCCCTTCCCGGGAAGGGCTGCTCGTCCCGTATCCCAAGTGGTACTGCCGCCAATGAGCTCCTGGCCTCCACCATCAATCTTCCCTGGATTTACACGTAACTCAGGCCAGGCCCTCTGGAGTCTTCCCTGGGACTGATATATGGATACTAGGAGAAGTTTCCTTTCTGCCTGGGTTGCAATGCAACTCACCCCCCACGTGGAAAGAATCTTCACACAGTGAGAACGGACAAGTAAAGCAAACAGAGAGAAAGAAAGACAGTGCCTGGCCAATATCACCTGAGTCTCCAGATCCAGTCTGAAGCAAATCAAGCTGAAATCTAATTATTTGTGCCAATTTAGTTCTTGTTTCCTCAGTTACTTTAAGATGGACTTCAATTACTTGTACTCAAAAGATTTTTAATGCATGTTACAGTCTCATGTCTAAGAATCTTAATTATAAAACTGCACAATTGTAAAAAGAAAAAGGTATAAAGATATGCATTCTACTGAGTCTTTTAATACAAAAAGCTACCAAAAAATCTAAATGTCCACCAAAAAAAGGACTAGCTGAATTAATTATAGAATTGTTTGCAAACTGGCCTGATTAGAGTCACTTGGACACTTGTTAAAAATAAAAGTTCAAGAGGAAGCTGACAAATGCATAATTCCAGCTCATTTGTATTGTTGTACGGCAGAAACTAACACAATGTTGCAATTTCCCACCAATTAAAAAATAAATTAAAAAAAAAAAACTACCTTGGCCCCGGGGAGAGTCTAATTCAGTAGGTCTAGGACAGGCTATCGTATTTTTTTCACTATTATCCCCTATCATTTTCATAATCAAGATAGTTTGAAAACCCCAAATTACAGTGTTTGCATATACAGTGGCCTATTACTCAGACTTTTATATGAAAAAGGTCCAAAACATATTGCTAAGTAAACAAAAGACAAGTTACAAAACACATTCAGATCTTTTCATGCAAAATTATGCAATAACTATCCATGTGGGTACATATTTGACCAAAGCACTCATTTTCCCCCAGGGCAGAGGTACCTGTACTCAGAATCTTACTGGGACTGGAAGGATTTCCAACTTCCCCAGAGATCCTGATACATACACTGCTTAAGAATCTCTGTTCTGAGTTACTATTACTAATATAAACACGAATCCTTCAAAAGCAGGTGTCAGACTGAACATTTTGGCACAGAGGAAAGAAACTCTGGAATAATGCTTATCAAAATGATAATGGAAATTCCTCCAGTAGTGGGTATTCAGCTGATTTTTACCAACTTTTTTGTATTGTTCTGTACTATATCAATTTTTATTTACAATGAATTAATACTTTTAGAATCGGGGGAAAGAAAACTATTCATATAGGAGAAAGATAAAATATTTTTAATCAAGTAATTTTATGATTATTAAATATAGATTTTCTGAATGGGAAAATTCTTAACAGTTTCCAAAATTCAAATGTAAAAGTACAGTGGCTGCTTTCAAAGGCACGATCCTCTTTCAATAAGAACTATCAGTCCATATAGCTAAACAGCCAAGGGAAAATGTGTATATCATCGTGTTCATGCTCAGTCACATCCAATTATTTGTGACCCGATGTACTACAGCCTTCCAGGCTCCTCTGTCCATGGAATTTTCCAAGCTAGAAAGATGGAGTGGGTTGCCAGTTCCTCCTGCAGTGGATCTTCCGAACCCAGGGATCAAACCCACGTCTACTGCGCCTCTTACAATTGCATATGGATTCTTTACTATTGAGCCACCAGGGAAGCGTGATATGTCATATCACATAATTAAAATTCAATCAACAAGTAAAACCATAAAATAAAATGAATATTTTTCAATAAATTTTTTTTCAATCACAAAGAACAAAAAAATTAAGATTTAATTTTGCTTGCTTACTCTGTATCTAAGACAACAATCAAGTGACAGTAAGTGTAGCAAATGAAATAAATGAAATTTAACATCTTAGTAAAAACTACATTCAATTTTTTAACTGTCAACTCTACATCAATAAAAAGAAGTTTTTAAAAAACTAGATCTGATTCTAAATTTCCTGTTTAATTATAAAAAATATACATTTACTTGCACAAGAAAGAAAAATAGCAATGTTTGATTTTTTTTAAAAAAAGATAAAAATATGACTTACCCCATCCAAGAGAGTATTTGATAAATGCATACGGAGATCTTTACGAAATGGAAATTCCAGATTTGAAACATGAAACACTGAATTATCTCTATCAATCATAAAAACTTCATTTGTGCCATCAATCAACATCATATACCTGTAAATGAAACATTAAGAAAGTAATATTAACAGTATAATTCAAGAATAGGGTCATAAGAAATAACAGTTAAACTGTTTTTCCTTAGACTTGCAATAGCTACCTGGAATAATGTTCACCAGAGTACCCCCTCCACCATCATTCAGATTAAAGTACCATAAATAATAAATTTGATTTTTTTTAAGTTTTTGCTTCCTATAAAAAACACAGGGTATACAGAAATCAAAACTTTTTATTAAAACAATGTGATATTCAAAAGCAATCTTATAAGCCATCTTAGGAGAGACGCATTCTCTAATTTTTATTAAACTTCAGACAACAAAGTTTAAAACACACAACCACACATATATTTAATTACTGCATTTTACTGGCTCAACAGCTATATGGATTAGGTGCTGCTGTCTCCACTCTGCAGTAGGAAAAAAGAAAGTAAGTGATAGGCAAATGCCCAGACTTCGACATATCCCGGGTCCCTTCTACCATACAACAGTGAACAGAACAGCTAACCCCTTTCTTTGAATTAATATGATGATAAAACCAGATCCCACCATTTCAGGAACAACTATCATTCATTACTATCTAATTTAAATATTTTTTAACAAAAGTTCATAAAAATTTTCATTAGTCAATCACTTCATTTCATAAAGTGAAGAACTAAAGAGCCTCTTGATGCAAGTAAGAGAGGACAGTGAAAAAGTTGGCTTAAAGCTCAGCATTCAGAAAACTAAGATCATGGCATCCGGTCCCATCACTTCATGGCAAATAGATGGGGAAACAGTGGAAACAGTGGCTGACTTTATTTTTCTGGGCTCTAAAATCATTGCAGATGGTAACCACAGCTATGAAATTAAAAGACGCTTACTCCTCAGAAGGAAAGTTATGACCAACCTAGACAAGCATATTAAAAAGCAGAGACATTACTTTGTCCACAAAGGTTCATCTAGTCAAGGATATGGTTTTCCCAGTGGTCATGTATGGATGTGAGAGTTGGACTATAAAGAAAGCTGAGCACAGAAGAACTGATGCTTTTGAACTGTGGTGTTGGAAAAGACTCTTGAGAGTCTCTTGGACTGCAAGGAGATCCAACCAGTCCATCCTAAAGGAAATCAGTCCTGGGTGTTCATTGGAAGCACTGATGCTGAAGCTGAAACTCCAATATTTTGGCCACCTGATGCAAAGAGCTGACTCACTGGAAAAGACCGTGATGCTGGGAAAGGTTGAGGGCAGGAGCAGAAGGGGAAGACAGAGGACGAGATGGTTGGATGGCATCACCGACTCAATGGACATGGGTTTGGGTGAACTGCGGGAGTTGGTGATGGACAGGGAGGCCTGGCGTGCTGCAGTTCCTGGGGTTGCAGAGTCAGACAGGACTAAGCGACTGAACTGAACTGAACTGATCTTCCCCGGTGGCTCAGACAGTGAAGAGTCCACCTGCAATGTGGGAGACCTGGCTAGGGAAGATCCCCTGGAGAAGCAAATGGCTACCCACTCCAGTATTCTGGCCTGGAGAATTCCATGGACAAAGGAGCCTGGCAAGCTACAGTCCATGGGGTTGCAAAGAGTCACACATGACTGAGCATCTTTCATTTCACTTCACTTCATATACATTAAAATGACTTTGGTCATTAGTCATCCTTCCAATGACCAAGTTACTGTCAATAGATTTACTGATGTAAGTGACTATCACTGACTCCCAACTAGTGGATCATCAAGAATGGAGCACTACTGCACACCACATAAAAAAATGAAGTCCAGATGAATTCACAGTTTAGGAAATTACAGACTGACAGGCTATACTACCAAACAGACAGCAGCAAGATTTGGGGTAAAAATGGAGACCATATCCAGGCACCAAACTCCTCAAAGAATGAGAAAAACTTGACAGCAATAAATTAGAAAGTTGAAAGGCATGAGCTTCAAAGGAACGGAAGAATCACTGTGTTGTTTGGTTTGTTGTTAAATGAAACAGTGGAAGAATAATAGTCCCGATGTACCACTGAGAATGGAAGAGAAGGCGGGTCGGTCGGTCTAATCTCCTACCCATGAGGCAGACGAGAAAAAAAGCAGCAGCAACCGAAAGATGGGAGCTGAATCAACTAAGGCCAGGGGACTGAAGAAACGTTCAATTGAAGATGTGGAAGCAAACATACATGGAGGCTACTATACCAGAAGACAATTTGTTTCCCATAAACAAGTGTTCTAAGAAAACAGAGAGACGGAACACAGAGAGGGGAAAGGAGGGCTGATTAAGGGAACAGAAGTGGGTGGCAACAGGCTGAAGAGCAGAGAAACTGAGCAGAGGGGCAGACACCTGGGGACTGGGCTGGAAGCATGCTGCTACCAGAGTTTTCAAACTAATTAGTCCCAGCAGGCCCCTGGAGAGGAGGCCAAGGACTCCTGCCCTTGCACATATTAAAAGAGCAGCCGCCCTAGGAGATGAGGACTGTGAAGGCTCAGGCTGCACTTGGAAAAAGAAAATCAGCCTCCGTCTAGACTGACAGTGCACCTGAGAGACTCGGACCAGCCGCTGGGCCAGCAGACTGGCCGACAACAGCAACATCAGCTCCCAAGGCCCTCCTGCACGTGCGTTCCAAACGCTGCCTCTCCTGGTAGAATCTAGTCTTCCTGAAGAAGTCAACCTTGCCCTGGGTGGCGTTTCAAAGAGAATTCAAATCAACATGAGAACAGGTCAAGTAAAAAGCCTTCTGATACCTGCAAAAATGGTACCGAAAGCACAGTCTATCATGTTGTTTAAAGACTCAGGACAGCACTTTGCAAAGTTTATTGTTAACTTTTAGTATTTCCATGGCAAAATAATCAGGAACATTTAAGGTTGTAAGAAAACATACAAGGAATTACTCAGTTTTCCAAGTTATTAAACTTTTTCTCCAGTTTAAAAAAAAACAACATAGAAAAGCCTATTAATTTAACTTAGCCCACTATTTCCTAAACTTATTCCTGATATCTGTTAATATCTGCAGAACTAGTATTCCATATTCACAATCTGAGAAGAGCTGGCTTATGCTAATGAATTTCAGAATTCAGAAAAAAGTAATAGTTTACCTCTTCTGATCATATGATAACAACAGAAATTATATCTCCCTTTTTGCTGGTTGCCCAGAAGCTCAGAATTGAATATAATGTTCAAACAAAATAAGTATTAAATCCTAGGGTGCTGGTACATTTGCTTTTTCTGTCATAATTATTCTCTATCCAATTTTTAACAGATTTGAGATAAGTATACACACACATAAATATACATCTATAAATATGTATATAATATAAATACAATATATATTTAAATATAATATAAATAATATAAATATGTATATATATCTTACTATCAGACTTTGCTTTTTACTTCAAAATACTATCTCTGTATACTTATGCACAAACAGATTCAAAAGACCAAGGAAGAAAGGGCTTTAGAAGATGGAATTCACTATAAAAGATTGCTCATGGGAAACTCAGCATGCATCTACAGACATAGCGTAGAAATTATTTAGCAGCTGGTATTCAGGGATTCTTCTGCACATATAAATTTTCAGGCTTTAGAACAAAAGTTTCTGGGATGCAATTTCTGGTTTGAATTCCAGTTATTTCAAATCACACATTCTTTTGTTATGTGACACCCACAAAAAGTAAGAAGTTATTTCATGTTAGGGAAGAAATAAGGAATGTGGAAATATTTTCATATCACTCCAAAGTCTCTGAATGAATAGATTCTTTTAAAAAATGAAACCATCCCTTGTACCATCAGATGCTGGCTTAGTATATAATGATGGTTCTACCTTCAGTGGAAAAGGATCACTAATGCAATATGATTTCTTATTAATTATGACATAACTTCAACTGCAAATCTAATGTACAGCATTATTAAATTATTTGTATAATATCCATTCTCATTAAAAGACAAAAATTAGTAAGATGTTTCACTGAACTAGAAAGCACTGATTCATTTTTTATATTAAAGTATAAATACCAAAACCATATAAACAACAGCAAAGCCAATGCATTCGCTCACTCACTCAGGCCACGCCACAAGGCTTGCATGATCTTAGTTCCATGACCAAGGATTGAACCCATGACCCTTGATGTGGAAGCGCAGAGTCCTAACCACTGGACCACCAGGGAAGCCTCGCATACACTGTTTTATGGTAAACACCCTTCGAGACAGTCACTGAGATGTGAGACAGCTATTGAAGTAAAACCACCAACTGCATATTAATACAATTCAGGAAGTACATAATTAAAGAAAAGGAAAACTGATAAAAAAAAAATTGGTAACTAATAGCATCTTAAGAATTTTAATTCATACTTCTAATAGTCTCAGGGTAAAACTGTCTTTAAACATCTTACAATTTAAATTTATCACCAATATCCATTGATACAGAAAGAGATTCACAACATATTAATTGAAGAAAGAGCAAGTTAAAAATCAGAATGTATGAGGATGAGGGGTTGGGAGATAAAACTCTGAATAGCAAAACAGACAGGAAAGCCTATACCAAAATGGTAAGAATTGTCATCTCTAGGTAGAATTACTAATGATATTTGCTTTCTTCATTATACTTTTCTGTACTTTTAAGAAATTTAAAAAATAAGCACATATTGCTTTTTCAAGCCACGGTGGGGGTGAAAATTAAAGCTACAGAAAAAAACAAAAAATAGAAATACAGTCTAATCACAGTCTAAACATTTTTCCTTTGGCAATAAAATAAGATGGGATGCTAAACCTCAGTCTGACTCTTTGCGACCCCATGGACTATACAATCCACGGAATTCTCCAGGCCAGAATACTGGAGTGGGTAGCCTTTTCCCTTCTCCAGGGGATCTTCCCAACCCAGGAAGCGAACAGGGGTCTCCTGCACTGCAGGCTGATTCTTTCCCAACCGAGCTATCAGGGAAGCCCACTCACACCATAGCAGCTTCAAAACTGGCAGGTATTTCTCCTCTCCTATTATAAAGCACTCACAGTGGGTAATAAAAACAGAAAAGTT